TGTGTGTGCGTGTGTGTGTGTGTGTGTGAGAGAGAGAGAGAGAGAGAGAGAGAGAACTTCTTAACTTCGATGATAATTCCAATGGGCATGAAAAAGTACTCACCGGGCAAGAAGAATCAGCCCATCTAGAAATACAAGAACAGTGAAAGGAGTGATTGCAGATTGTAGTAAGAATTCCACCCGTTTCTTGGTCTAACCTTTCTGCCACATATAATAACAAATAAACTACAATAATAAGATACCTGAACAGACACTATTTTTATGCTAAATCATCTTTACTAGTAAGTGAAATTAGACAACACACACATCCATAGCAGCCTCAGTAAGCTCAGTTAGATTTTATGCATTTACAGATCATGTGTCAGTAATTTAAAGTGAAACATGACAGTACATAGAACAAATAAATAAATAAATAAATAAATGATAGATACATGAATATAATTGACACATCCTCAAAGAACCATAAGTACCAAGGGAGGCATAACCAAAAGTAATAAATAAAATTAAAATAAATACAACTAAAAAACAAGGGTCTTTGCTACATCGGCGCTCGGGTGTAGTGGAAAATGAGCAAGGGTCTTCGCATCTCTCTCGACGGGTGCGAAGGGCAAGGAAGCTAGTCGAACCAACTAAGGTCCGGATAGGTAGTTGGAACGTAGGGTCCCTAACGGGTAAGCTACGTGAGCTAGTCGATGCAACTACTAGGAGGCGCGTAAATATCCTATGCGTCCAGGAGACTAAATGGAAGGGGCAGAAGGGGAAGGAGGTGGCGGATACTGTCTTCAAGCTTTGGTTCACTAGGGCTTCATCGAGTAGGAATGGTGTAGGCATCCTGATCGATAGGAGCCTTAAGGATGGAGTTGTAGATGTTAGGAGGCAAGGAGAACGGATTATCCTAGTCCGATTGGTAGTCGGGGATGTGACCATGAATGTGATACTCAGGTAGGTCTTAGTGAGAGCGCAAAGAGGCAATTCTGGGAGGATCTGGACACCTTGGTCAATACGGTGGCTGCCAGCGAGAAGCTCTTCGTAGGAGGAGACCTAAACGGCCATGTGGGCGCGACTAATGTAGGCTTCGAGAGAGTGCACGGAGGGTTTGGGTATGGTAGTAGGAATGAAGAGGGGGAGAGTGTGTTGGACTTTGCGATGGCCTACGACTTGCTGATAGCGAACACCCTCTTTAGGAATAGGAAATCTCACCTAGTGACCTTCCATAGTGGTCGACACTCAAGTCAGATCGACTTTATTCTTGCAAGGAGGGAAGATAGACGCGCTTGCGTAGATTGCAAGGTGATACCTGGGGAATGTGTTGTCCCCCAGCATAAGCTGGTGGTGGCGGACTTTCGATTCCGAATACGCGTCCACCGGGACAAACGTGCCAAGACCGTGAGAACGAAGTGGTGGAAGCTTAAAGGGGAAGCGGCGCAGACGTTTAAGGATATGATGCTAGGCGAGGGGCCTTGGGAAGAAGGAGAAGATGCAGATGACATGTTGCTAAAGATGGCAACATGTGTACGGAAGGAGGCTACAGAAGTACTTGGTGTGAGTCGGGGAGGCAAGCAGGATGCGAAAGACACTTGGTGGTGGAATGACGAGGTGCAAAGGGCTATTCAAGAGAAGAAAGTGTGTTTCAAGCGTCTCCACCTCGACAAGAGTGCAACCAACGTTGAGAGCTATAAAATAGCGAGGAGGGCTGCAAAGCGTGCCGTGAGTGTAGCGAAAGGTCAGGCCTATGATGACCTTTATCAGCGCCTAGGCACGAAGGAGGGGGAGAAGGACATTTATAGGATAGCTAGGATTCGGGAGAGAAAGACGAGGGACATCAACCAAATCAAATGCATCAAGGATGGATCGGATCGGCCACTGGTGAATGGAGAGATCAAGGACACATGGCGAGAGTACTTCGACAAATTGTTTAATGGGGAGAGTGAGGGTCCTACCCTAGAGTTGGTTGACTCATTTGAGGATACCAATAGATGCTTGGCGAGGAGAATCCGAGAGACAGAGATCGGAGAGGTTATGAAGAAAGATGAAGGGAGGTAAAGCAATGGGCCCTGATGGTATCCCTATTGAGGTGTGGCGATGTTTGGGCGCCAGAGCGTTAATATGGTTAGCTAAGCTTTTTAACCTCATCTTTCAGTCAAACAAGATGCCTGATGAATGGAGGAGAAGTACTTTAGTACCGATCTTCAAGAACAAGGGTGATGTTCAAAGTTGTGGTAACTACCGTGGGATTAAGTTGATGAGTCATACGATGAAGCTCTGGGAGAGGGTTATCGAGCATCGCCTACGACGAGTGACGAGTGTGACTCAAAACCAGTTTGGGTTTATACCTGGAAGGTCGACGATGGAGGCGATTTTCCTAATACGACAGTTGATGGAGGGATATCGGGAGAAAAAGAAGGACTTGCACATGGTTTTTATCGACCTTGAGAAGACTTGTGAAAGAGTACCGAGAAATGTCATGTGGTGGGCCTTACAAAAGCACAAAGTCTCATCTAAGTACATTACCCTCATCAAGAACATGTACAAGGATGCGATGACGTGTGTCTGAACATGTGGGGGCGATACCTGCGACTTCCCAATTAAAATAGGACTACACCAAGGGTCAGCATTGAACCCTTATTTATTTGCCTTAGTGATGGATAGGCCACAAGGGACATACAAGGTGATATCCTTTGGTGTATGCTCTTTGCTGATGATGTGGTGCTAGGTGACGAGAGTAGGGCAAGGGTAAATAGGAAGTTAAAGCTGTGGAAGGACACGTTAGAATCGAAAGACTTCAGACTTAGTAGGTCGAAGTCCGAGTACATGCGTGCAATGTTTTCAGGTCGGCTGGTCGAACCTGGTCGACCACGGACCGACCAGACGATTAATCGTGATTAATCGTCGACCAGCTAGATTAATCGGGCTGCCTCCTTCCTATATATATCCTAACCCTAACAGGCCAAATAGGTCAAGCCCTGCAGCCCACATACCAGCCCAAAAGGACAAATATATGTCCTGGTCGTCCATATGCCCTGGTCGGACGATTAATCGCGATTAATCGGACGACCAGGTTTCTGGTCGAGCTGGTCGGGTCGGACCTCCTAATCGAGCACTTGGGAGCGACTAGGACGATTAATCGCGATTAATCGGACGACCTAAAATCAGGGCATGCGTGCGCTTTCAGCATGGCTACTCATGATGATGGTGACATTAACCTTGACGGGCAAGTGGTGGCCAAGAAGGAGACTTTCCGGTATTTAGGATCGATGCTACAAAAGGATGGCGGCATTGATGAAGATGTTAGGCATAGAATTGCAGCCGGTTGGTTGAAATGGCGCTAAGCTTCGGGCGTTCTCTGTGATAAGAGGGTGCCACAAAGGCTAAAAAGTAAGTTTTATAGGACGACGATTCGCCCGGCGATGCTATACGGTGCTGAATGTTGGCCTACAAAAAGGCAACATGTCTAACAACTAAGTGTAGCAGAGATGCGGATGTTGCGTTGGTTTTGCGGGTACTCAAGAAGCGATAGAATCCAAAATGAGGATATTCGAGATAGGGTTGGGGTGGCTCCAATTGAGGAGAAATTGGTTCAACATCGGCTGAGGTGGTTCGGACATGTCCAACGGAGGCCTCCTGATGCACCGGTGCATCGGAGAGTTCTTCAGCAGGCCGATGTTGTTAAGAGAGGTAGAGGTCGACCTAAATTCACTTGGGAAGAGTTGGTTCACCTTAAAAATTGGAATATCTCCAAGGATTTAGCAGTGGATAGGAGTGCTTGGAGGCTAGCGATCAACGTGCCGGAACCGTGACTTTTGCTCCTTTCTCGTTTGCTCCAATCTCTTCCTTTTGTTTTGTTTTTGTTCTGAGCTTTTTTTTTTTTGTTACCACTGTTTCTATTGAGTTTCATCTCTAGCCTACCCCAAATTGTTTGGGACTAAAAGGCTTTGTTGTTGTTGTTGTTGTTGTACAACTAAAAAACAAATACATCTAAATTACCAACATTGGCGAAGTGTAATCATTCCAATTTGATCACCTCATTGTCATGTTTCGCAGAATCTTTATTTAGTTAATGACAAAGCAAAAACTTCTGTTATAACCATCAGAAAATGTTGAACCAGTGTTGGAGCCATAAGCTTCATAGACTGACTAAAACGTAACATGTTTGCAGTCCATAAAATTTAATTGGTCATCATTCATTTCTCAATTCTTATATGAACTGAATTAGTCCGGCATTATGGTTGACACGTGATATCTGAACTTTCATTGCATTGGGAGCCAATAACTTCCAAAATCCATAATTCATCCTAGAAATTCAAGACACTAACCAAGACAAACGGGACAAGAAGGCTGCTCTGTAGAGCTTGTAGGGGAAGAATGTGAATGCTCAATGGATCCAGTATACTGTATATCTACAGTGAAAAACATGCGGCAGGTTTCCTCCTGTATTCAAACAGAAAAATAGTTAGGAACAGGGGAAGTCCTAATTCCCCAGAAAACATTCTCGGCCATTGACAGCAAAAAATACCTCAAGGGAAGAGAAACGTTTTCCATTGAAATGCCTATAAAAAGAATCTGCTGAATTTTGATTGTCAAGCCTGATCAAGATACTGTAACGGTCCTCCAACCCTTCAGTTCTGAATTACCATAGATTCAAAGAATCATGAGAAGATAGTGAAAAAAAAAAACTATTATCAGCCTTAAAATTCAGAAGCCAACCTTACGATTCGCATTTCCAGCACGTGATGTATAAAAGAACCGCAGAACTGGCAAAAATCTGCATATGTCATATGATTTGGCACCCCGATAACAGAGATCAGAGGCTTTCTGTCAACCTATCAGACAATAAAGAGTTGATTCAAGTTAGACCCTGCATCAGATAATAAAATAATAATAATAATGTATATGTAAGTCCGTATCGATTGATACAAGTTTCAGAAAATGTAAAACACGAGAGAATTATGCACATAAAACTCGTTTCATTTCTCCTTGATATATTGTCCATCTACAAACAACTTTTTTGAGTAATGCCACAAATTTTTGCTAAAATAATAAGCAAATATATCTTGAGAAGTACACTAAAAGGTAGATGGTGCTAATTTACCAGTTAAAAATATCTGCTATAGTGGAACATGATATAGATTCAAGATAGAAGAGACACCACTGCATTGGTAAAGATTTGACATTGTGCTATGCACACTTTTGATCTATATAATGTAATATTACTAAATTTGGACTACTTCATCTGAAATTTAAAAATATAAGATTAAAGAATAATTCACGCTTCTTCTCACACCACTATGGTAAGAATGCCGATAATTATTGCAGCGCCAGTAAGATTGCGTATTATCTCGAGTGAAGAATTGAAGAACATACATTTGATCATTAAATTTTACAAAAAAGGCGAACTAAAGTACAACAATTAATAGATGGCAACAGTCCAAAGAAAGACGAAATAACTAAAGTACAACATTAATAAGACAGATGAATGACCACTGGGTTCAGCGAGGTCGAATTTTCCTTTTGAACTTCTTATACCACATAATCTAAACAAAACAATGTATTGAATTGAACGAATTAAATGGTCAAGTCCATTTACCGGAAACTTGGGGGAGGGTGAAGCGACGTCGCTACCGAACAGATGCATAACGCCTCTAATCTCTTCTATTCTAGGGTTCCCGGAGGAGAAATGCAACGCCTGGGCGGTTGAATCTCCGCCGGCAGCCGGCGGGCGGAATAAATCCTCCGGCGAAGCTCCGGAAGCCGCGCTAGAACTAGTTGATGTCTCTTCCAACATCTTATACGAATGCAATTTGCGGCAGTGTTCCTGGATTGCGGATGGCAGAGGTGGCGTACGTGTTCTGTTTTGTTATATATAGGTTTGCCGTGCTGGGATGGGACGGTTATATTTTCGTTTGCCTAAATAACCCGTAAATTCTAATCTTCATCTCATTGTTTTTCTTGAACCTTTAGGAGGACACTTATTAAAGTTGGATCAAAGTTTACTTGGGTGAATTTTAGATATGAGAACGTGCGAACCTTTTGTTTTTACTATTGTAGAATTGACCACTCTGATAGGAATTGTGAGATTATAACTGCATATGTCAAGAATAATGAGCTGAGTTTAGGATAATATGGTGAGTGGCTTAAAGTCAATTCTAGTGTTTCTAATTTCTTTAGGAGTCCTACTTCCCTGAATAAGGGAAGTCAAGCTAGTGATATTGATATCCATATTAGGTCTGAACATGTTGTGGCTAAAAGTGAAATAAGAGAAGACAATAAAAACTGCCCAAAAAACACTAACCAAATCCGTAAATTTAAAGCAGACCTCTAGCCCAAACCTTAAATTGTTAACCTCAATCAAAGATATATTCTCTGACCAAGTCAAAAAAAAGCCCCACTCTACTACCCACAGGACTAACATAATACCATTTATCAAACAACTTAAGCTTTTTACACATAGGGGCAACAATTTTTTTCCTTTTTCTGTTTGTTTCAGATAAATTCTGGGTGGTGGAGCCTTAAAGCTTCCTTGAATTAGGAATTGTAGAGGGCCTTCCCAAACCTCTACAATTCCACACATAAACCTTCATTGGAAATTGTGGGACCAGTTTAGGCTAGTTTTCTCCACCTCAGGTAAAATCCTATCCCTAGACAACTTAACTTTCTTAACTAAATGAAGCTCATTCTCATCTAATATGTCTACCTCCTAGAAATTCTCACAACTCCTCTTATTAGAACCCATCTCTCATATCTTGATGCCAGAAACCCCAACTCTATCAACTAGCATACCCTCTACTGCAGCAGGTTTACTGAGTCTAGGTTTTCTAGTAAAAGTGGCCTTCTTTCTACGACTAGTCCTACCTTCTAAAGGGGAAGGTTAGATAGTCACTTATACAAGACTAGTATCAGTCAGAGGGGGAATCTCAGTGACAATGGTAGCACCGATCTGATCATTCAAATCAGGACACTCCTCATTCTCATGAGTAGCTAGATCTGTGGTCAAAAGAGCCTCAAAATGATTGCTCCCTTGGTCCCCCACCTGCTGAACATCTAGATTAGATGCCACACAGTTTCTATTGCCTTCTCTTATTTCACTTTTAGCCACAACATGTTCAGACCTAACAGGGATATCAATATCACTAGCTTGATTTCCCTTATTCAGGGAAGTAGGACTCCTAAAGAAACTAGAAACACTAGAATTGACTTTAAGCCACTCACCATATTATCCTAAACTCAGCTCATTATTCTTGACATATGCAATTATAATCTCACAATTCCTATCAGAGTGGTCAATTCTACAATAGTAAAAACAAAAGGTTCGCATGTTCTCATATCTAAAATTCACCCAAGTAGACTTTGATCCAACTTTAATAAGTGTCCTCCTAAAGGTTCAAGAAAAACAATGAGATGAAAATTAGAAATTACGGCTTATTTAGGCAAACGAAAATATCACCGTCCCATCCCAGCACGACAAACCTATATATAACAAAACAGAACACGTACGCCACCTCTGCCATCCGCAATCCAGGAACACTGCCGCAAATTGCAGTCGTATAAGATGTTGGAAGAGACCTCAACTAGTTCTAGTGCGGCTTCCGGAGCTTCGTCGGAGGATTTATTACGCCCGCCGGCTGCCGGCGGAGATTCAACCGCCCAGGCATTGCATTTCTCCTCCGGGAACCCTAAAATAGAAGAGATTAGAGGCGTTATGCATATGTTCGGTAGCGACGTTCTCATATCGAAAATAAATAAATATATATATATATATATATATATATATATATTGTTTTTTTATGCTAATTATATTCATTTAGATGAGTTCAGTTCTGCGGTGGAGGAGGCTTGGAATAAGCCAATGTGGGGTCATGCTCTTTTCAGTCTTCAAGATAGGCTTAGAAATATGAGAAGTCGACTCCTTGTTTTGAGAAGTCTCATATGTCTAATGCTAAGCTTGTTATTGATCAGTGTAAAGCTAGGCTGAATCAACTCAGAGAATTAGGAGGGGATACAGATTGGGGGGAATGGTTTGCTAAAAAAGCTGATTTGCACTTAATTTATAAAACTGGGGAGAATTTTTGGGAACAAAAAGCTAGAGTGCATTGGCTTCAAGGGGGATAGAAATTCTAAATTTTTCCATGCTTGTGTTAATCAGAAAAGGAAGTTCAATAGGTTAGATGGGATTATGAAAGTTGATGGTTCTCCATGCTTGAATTCTCATGATGTTTTATCTGAATTGACTGTCTATTTTGAGAACATTTTTAAATCTTCTAACCCCCTTGATGGATTGTGTTCTTCGGATAGTATTGCTTGCACTATTTCTGATAGCATGAACTCTGAATCTATTAAGAAAGTTGATGAGGTAGAGATTAGAACAACTTTGTTTGACATGGCCAAAGATAAAGCTCCTGGAGCTTATGGTTTCACTGTCTTGTTTTCTCAACATTTTTGGTCAGTTTTGAAGCATCATGTTAGTTTAGTTGTTGATAATTTCTTTGCTCATGGTAGAATGCCTAGGCAATTGAATCATACTGTGATAACTCTTATTCCTAGAAAGAAGAACCCCACTCGTGTTGCTGATTTTATTCCCATTATTTTATGTTATGTAGTTTATATACTCATTGCTAAAGTGTTGGCCCTACTTGCATTTCTAAATCTTAATCTGCTTTTGTGTCTGGTAGACAAATTCTGGACAATTTGATAATTGCATTGAATGCATTCACTTTTTAAATAGCAAATGAACTATATGGCTGTGAAACTTGACATGGCAAAAGCATATGACAGGGTGGAATGGGGTTTTATTGCTAGGGTTTGCAGAAAAATGGATTTTTGCTCTACTTTTATTTCTTGGATTCTTTCTTGTGTGTGTTCAGCCTCATATTCTTTTAATATTGATGGGTCTTCTTTGTGTTTTGTTCAACCTACTAGAGGTTTAAGGTAAGGAGACCCTTTGTCTCCTTATTTGTTCATTTTGGTTTCAGAAGCCTTTTTCTCTTTGATTAATCAAGCCTGCATTTCTAGTCAATATCAAGGCCTTAGAATTGGTCCTCATGCTCCTAGTATTTCTCATCTCTTTTTTACTGAATCGGCATACATGAATCAGTTTGCTGATGGTCCTTCTTCTCCAAATCCTTGGGGTCAAGTTTGGGGATGATTCCTTCTTATTTTGTGAGGAAGATATTCATCATGCTGCACTTCTTGTTTCTATTTTGGAAAAATATGGGAATGACTCAGGTCAGTTGGTTAATTTTGATATGTCTTCTATATTTTTTTCCAAAAATATGCAAGAGGATCACTGTATCATTATTTGTAATGCACTAGCTGGGATTTCAAGAGTTTCTTGTTATACATACCTTGGCTTGCCTTTGGGCAATGGTAGGAGTAAGAGAGAGACTTTTAATTTCTTATGTAAGTGTGTTCAGAACGAAATCAAAAATTGGAAGAATAAATTTTTGAGTGAGAGTGGCAAGGAAGTGTTAATTAAAGTAGTGTTGAATGCTCTCCCCACTTATATTATGTCTTGCTTACAAGTTCCTGTTACTCATGTTAAAAAGCTTTGCCAGGATATTGCAGACTTTTGGTGGGGTTTCAATGAGAGTGGGGGCAAAAGAATTCATTGTGTGGGGTGGGATAAGTTGGTGAGAGACAAGGATAAGGGTGGTTTGGGTATTAAGGATCTCATTGCATTTAAGGATGCTTTGTGTAACGCCCCAAACTCATGTCGTTCATTTCTATGCTTAGCATTATTTTCATAGATATTTATTATGTTTAATTTAATAATTTATGATATTTTATTTTAATTTTTGTTGTGCTCGATGGTATTTATTTTTATCAATCTAGTGAGTGTCCTCACTCATGTATAATTTTTAATTTAATGAAAAATAAATGAGAATTTATTTAGATGTCCCCATCTATTTAATTTTTCTAAGTATTAAATAGCCATAATATTAATATAATTTTTATTATATATTAATTAATTAATCACTTTAATTCAAAGTTAATTAATTAAACGTTTTAATGCAATAAATAGTGGATTAATTATCTAAGATATAATAACTCTTAATTTTCGGCCCTTCCATACACCTAGCCGTGAGTAATATGTCCAAGTCCCATAATGTTTCATTCTTAAAAAAAAAAAAAGGAATGAAGAATCCTAAGCATCCTCAAGTTTCCCCTTGACCAAGCAAAAGAAGGAGTCTTCTATATATGTATATCTATATGTGCGTAACCTATCAGCACTCTTGTTCCTACAAACAAAACTCACGCATATCACACAAACAACACCTCACGATTTTCTCCCTGCAACATTCATCTCCCCGCAGCGAACTCTCGTCCGAACACCATCTTCCCCGAGAATCCGCGAGCAAGCAGCCACAGAGACGAGTAGCACACATTCAGAAGGTAGCAATCCACATTCGAGAGCCCCCGCAGTCCTCGTCGAGTTGAGTCCTCTAGCACAACTGAGTCGTTTCGTTTTCTTGTTTGCTGCGCGAGGTAAACCAGCCATGATCCTTTTCTCTCTGGTCGAGAATTATGAGTTTAATGTGAATTCTAAGAGATTAATAATCAAGAGGAAGAATTCTAATATTTTTATATAAGGATTGATGACTTGGTTTGTGTATTGTGTGCTTATGTTAATTGTATAGCATGAGTTGAGATTGATGATGGATTTTATGTGTTTAAAAATGTGTTACTGGAATGTTAGAATTCAAGTTCAAGGCTGAAGTGATGAGTTGAGGATTTAAAAGTTTTATTGTTCAAATATGTTTGATGAATTCAGATTTCATGGCCTCTGTT